CAATGCCTGGTCGTTAGTACAAGGAAATAATGATTTATTAGAACATGTTTTTCTTGGCGATTAATCGGAATCTAATATTACCAGGTAATTGCGAAGAGCACGACAAAATTAAGTATGCATCAAATAAAAAAACTCAAATCGGATTAACATGCTCGAAGCAAACGCCTAGAGGAATGGAAACGTGCATCGTTTCAGCTCTTTCATATACATGGTGATTGAACTCAGCAAATTTAGTTGAGGCACTAACAATAACTGCCTAGAATAGTATTTAATTTCTATTCCATCAGGAACTAGAGGCTTTTATTCCCAGCGCTTTCCATGTGCCACTCACCAAGCAAGAGACATAAAGCGCTGCTGGTATCTTCGTTACCGCCAGCTTCATTTTGGTTATTAGCTGCTCACAAACAGCAAATTCAAATAAAACACACATGAATAACATTTAATGATGACGCACCCCCAGCTTCGCCTAGCTACATAATATACATATTATTATTAAGAAGAGTAAACTCAGAAATTCCGATTATGAATTTCGTGCAAAGAGAAAGGGATGTTTGTGTTGCGGCATTCGAAATTCAGCATACACAAGCGTAATCAGAGTGGGAATCTGCAAACAAACACGAGCAGACGGGATAACTGTGCCACAAAGCAGAATAGAATATTACATGTCATTGTACGATCGCATAATCCACCCTGAAATATAAATGTGGGGGATAAAATTCGAATTTCGGATGTGATGGAATAGTGGCGAGAAAATGGAAAATGTGTCCATGATATACTGATATATAACAGATAATGGCAAGTGGGTAAAACCTGATGTTCCAAAACAGCATACCTAATATAGAATGTGTGTTAGACTCAAAAAACTGAAAAAGTGCAGTCTTTGAGTGAACGTTTTGGAAAATTCTACAAGGAGTTTTTCGGGAAATTAGAATTTTCATAAATGTCAAGTAAATAGTGGTTTTTTCATTGTGCCTCGATAGAGATCAAGCCAAGGGAGATCTTTGTTACACAATGGTTAATACTCGAAATAGGCCAAAATATTCGATTATCTCGAATCAGGAAAATTTTACGCAGCTCTGAAGATGCCTGCCATGTGTGCGAGCGAAGCTCGATTCCGCCATCAGCAACGTACTAACAATCCAAAAATTTACGATTTTTGTGATTTTCGTTGCTTGAGCAAGTCCCTATTGAGAGAACGGACAATCGCCGAAAACACGAGCAAATGTTACCGAACATTTCACGAAACCCCATGTTATTTACGGGAGATAGTTAAACATACGTAAAGTGGGGAAAATGAATCTAAATAAACATTTAAGAATAAAAATATTTAAGATTAAAAATAAAGAGAAAAAAATAATAGACAAGATTAAAATGAATCAATATTTTAAAAGTTTTCGAAATTTTCTTGGGAACTAAGAGTCGAAACCTAAAGTCACCAAAGTATTCGCCATTGTTGGGAACTTTATGATCCTACCTGTCAGCAAACAATAGTAATTGATCCGTCACCAAAAGACCAATGGTGAAGCTTCCAGTGGACGGGCTGGCCAATGAAAATCGGTTTGCGCGTGGGTATCGTCACGCTCCATAACAATTGCTTGTGAAACAAAGCCGAGTTTATTTCTAGATGCTACATTTCCCAGGACGTGGCGAATAGGTGCGAACCTCTACTAACTTGTAGCATTCGCTAAATAGTCGGCGATTTTTGATCAGCAATGATTAATTAGCTCCAAACAGATACGAGCAACACACACCTTTAAATCACAAAAGTCTCACAGATATTGAGACTAAACGCCCTGAAATGGCTTCTGTCTGGTTCAATAAATAAATCTTGCCCTCATGTCGGTGCCGGAAATAGCACCTGTATTACAAATTTCCTCGATACTAATATAGCAATTATATGGCTATCACTTAACGGCATCTTGGGTCATATAGGAAAGTCTCGATGCTTTAATGGGCGCCAACGAATTTATAACTGTTTCAATTATTCGGTCGTAAAAAGAAATCTACTTAATTTGCCACTTAGTCCTGGTGGACAGGCATGACTTTATTCAAAAGCTTCTTTCGTTGCTTTTTATTACTGCCTGAGTGAGTTCTTTTTAGTTTCTTGTGGCTAAAATTGCAGTCTTTTTGGAAAAATCTTCCAAAGTACCCGGGAAGCTTTTGGCAGTTTTACAGAGAGAAACTGTAGTAGGTTCAATTTAGTTTGCAACTCAATGGTGAGGTAACTTGCTTGAAATGGCTGTGTTTATTCCTAATTTATCAACCAGTTAGATAATCAAAGGTTTCCTGAAGGAATCCGGCATGCTTTTGGCAAAGTTTCTTGTGTTTGAGAGCGTCAAAAAATGTATTAATAGGACAGTAGGCCCAGCTTGATTTGCTTCGATACTTGTACAAGTGACCAGCTTCAATGTTCGGCGGCATCTATTCAATTTCCACCATAAATCGCTTAAGATCAAAACGCTGAATCGCATTAGTTGAAATTTACAATGTAAAATGGTTGTTTAATTTATAGCAGTGTTTAACCTTACAAGTATTAAACTCAACAGTACCGCTCGCCAAGAAGACGAGTCGTAAAACGAATGTAAAAGTACCGACCGGGATGATGCACAAACGTTTTACAAGAAGTTTTACAACGTATGGATACGTTCTACAACGACAACAAATAATGTTTCGATAGTCGCCTGACCAGGACGGTTACACAAAAAAAAATCTCGTAAAAGCAAAATTGCCGGTATAAAATCAGCACTGTTGAGTTAATGGGAACTTTTATACGTTCTGCAGGCTTGATTTATATTATCATTGAAATACAATCTGGGAATTAAGATTGAAAGTGGCCTATAATAGTATGACATGCTGCAGATTCTCAGGTGGTGATGATTTGAAGTTCTTTAAAATAATCACTCTGAGACTCTAAAAGTTCAGCAAGCAACGGAATAAGTAAATTATAAACGTTCCATGGCCCATCTAATCAACGTAGCTTGATGACTCTCGACTAACCATCCGAATGCGTCTAATTACCGGGCGTATTTGCTAAAGCCGGGGCCGAAGAAGCACAACAAAAGGGATGTATGCAAATTTAATTTCGATAGAATCACTGGCGGACCGAAAAGAAAGAGCGGAATAAACAAAAAGTCGCCAAAGTGGCCCTCTTACAATCGACTAGTGTACTGCATATTTTACGTTGGGGTTGCTGATCTGCATTCAAGTCATTTCGGCATTACAGCTCTGCTTGCTCTTTTGATATCCTGTGCCGCTTTTCAATAGGAAAACCGTCGATAAAATAAAAAAGATCGTTTACGTCTTGGACTCGGGGGTTAATTTGCAGAATGGTCCGATTTGCCACTCTAAAAGATTAGAATTCGAAGCAATAATGCTGCAGTACAATAAAAATCAAAGTTACTAAATGGCACCAATGAACCAAGTGGACTTGTGCGTAAAATCCTCTGTAGTTGGTTGGCAGGGTACGCTTGCCTAGCAAACATGCTAATTATAATGGATAGGACTATAAACGGTATTAATTACTGGATACAATGTAATGGAGACACAAAAAGCATATAGACAGTTGAATTGAAATGATGGTAATTAGTTGTTATTGTACAGCGGCAGCACAAACATGTCATAATGGATGAATCCCGAACACAGAGGCGCTTTGTGTGCAAATATAATATGCGTGTACAATTTTGATTTGACGTTCAATACGGTCCGTTTGTTCCTGTTTGCTTTGTTGCATTTTGTATGATTGCCTTTTGGCCCCTAATGCTTTGTTTTAGATTTCAAATTTTATATGCTTTTCATTATCAGAAAGCCAATTCTGCCAATTGAAATGAAAATGTTCTCTCTTAGGTCAACTGCACACATGTAAAGCGTTTGAAAAATTGAGCTTCTTAGCCCGTCTTACGAAAGCATTCAGTCGCCCTTTCTATTTTCCACATCATCTTGTCCACTATCACACATTATCGAAATAGGTCTCTAATTAGCAGGCAAACGCCATATAAGATTTCAGTCAATAATTCATCCTTTCAACTAGCCGAGCGACACTTCAAGTGTTACTGTTAATAATTATAATCATTAAATTATTACAATATTCGTCCGATTCAGATTATTCAACTGTATGTTAATCGAGCCCGCTGTAATTAAGCACTGAATTCCAATGGTGATAAAACAAGAAGTAGCAGCCGCAGCAGCAGCACCTGCACCAACGACAACACCGGACACACCTTAATATATTTATCGCCGTTTTGAGAAAATCTCAGGTTACTGTCTTATCAAAAAACAGCGTTATTGAACACGGCCGCTAGAGTAAATTACCATTATCTGAGGCTACGCATTTCGAATTTACATAAGTGTTGCCAGCCATGTAAAAAATCGCACAAGAACTGGCTAGATCGGATGACTTTTCCCCGAGGATTCTGCCAATGAATGAAAGTGCCGAGCGATCATCTCTAGTCCAGTACAATCAGAAGTATTTTTTTGTCAAATGTTAATGCGAAAAATTACACAATCCCCTTGAAACATTGGAGTAATTTTCAATTAATTAGCAATCAGAGTCAGTGAATGTAGAAGAGCCATCAACATTGCCGGCTGATAATGGAAAATCCTCAGTCTCAGCTCATTTTTTCTCTAAAACTGCCATTAAATAGTCGCTGGCATCATTAATACATACTATGGACTGTAAAGGCCTCGCAAAGGCTGGACTACATTCTCAGCGCTATGCATATCTCCGTTAAACGTTGAAAAATGCTTAATTATTTCTACGATTAATATGCACGATGAGAATGAAGCACCCGCTGAGCTTTCGATACCAGTCTGTAATGCCTAGCTTTATCGGCTCATTTATTATTTTAATAGCGGACTTTACCTGGCTAAAGTGCGTGTAGGACTCCGGCAAATGTAGTATTTCAATTTCAACTGAGCCTGTTCTCCTCGATCGCGCTTACGTCTCATGAATTTTCAACTTTCTACCGTACAAGTGCAACGAGATAATTCAGCTCTAATCTTACCTTGTTTCCATCGGGATGTTGCTGCTGCTGCTGGACCAGTAACTGTTCACGAGCCATCTGAAGCTGAATAATCAGCTCCGACAGCTTCCGATCTTTTTCCATCAGATTATCACCAGACAGTGCTTGTTGGATGGCGGCAGCAGGCTCAACATCCCTGCAACAAAAACCGCCTAAATCATCATTGGGTCCAACAGTATGAAACTGAGACATTAAAAGCAACTATAAATAGTCGGACAACAAGACGTAAATTCCGAAATCTCCTTGACCACAAAACAAAACTAATGAACTCTGACCGAAATATAACAAAAGATAAGTGATGTAACTTTATGTAATTGCTTTTCATTATTCTCTCATTGTGTAGTTGGGTTTTAATGATAGGCGCCCATTCATGAACTGGTCACATTTATTATTATTTTTAGATCGCAGTCCTATCACTCAATTCGTAATGAGGATTGTAAATAATTAATGTTTGATCTAGTTACAGTGAACTTTCGAGGGTTGGTTCCTTTTGTAGAATTTTGGCCTTTACATGCCCAATGTTTTTCATAATTTTTTTCGATTATTGCTCATGATTGCAAATATTTAGGACCCGTTCAGCTTCTTTTAAGCACATCATCAAGACACTCACTGTCCATCCATTCTCTAGCCTCACTTCAAAAATTAATTCAAATCGCATAAAACTCTGAGGTTGGCGCGCTTCATGAAGGTTGATCAATGAATCGTTTTACGCAACTGCAGTATCTCAATTTAAAAATTCCAACTTCTAAAGTAAAGCCAGCAGAAACTTGAAATATTGACATTCTGTAAAATACACTTGAGTGAATCTTCAAACCTTCAAAAATTCATTGAAATTGCAAAAAATCCTGAGTTTTGCGCGGTTCATAAAGGTTGATCTGAAAATGAATTGGTTTTCGCATCTGCAGGGTCTTAAATAAAAAATAAAAAATTACAACTTCCAACGTGAAGCCAGTAGAAACTTGAAAGATTCATATTCGGTAGAAGACACTTGAATGTTCAAATCAAAAAATTTCGGTAAGAGTTTTGCGCGGTTTGTAGAGGTTGATGTGAAAATGAATCGGTTTACGCATATACAGGATCTGAAATATAAATTACAATTTCCAGTTTAACTCCATGCAATGACGCCGATTCGAAATCACCCTGTACAATAAATCGAGATTAAACCTTCAATTTCCCAACTGATTTCGATTAGTTGAAAAGTAATTAATATGGCGGTAACCATTTGCTGTACGTGCATGATGAATATTGGAAAGCATAAAAAGTGACGATTCATCTGAATTCCCAATAAACTTAGGATTTTCTTTATAGAAACGTATCAGGCTGGAATTAAAGTTTACGATATGGAAGTGCGGTGCAACAGAAAGATGCCAGAACCGATTCATATTTAAATTACTTTAGAGGTTGTAATGTTTGATTGCTTCGAGGAAATATCGGTGGCAATAAAAATTACTTGGCTCCTTGGCAAAGATCCGCGCATCTTCTTATATTGGTTTTACATAATTCAGCTTTTTATTGGCTAGTAACGTCACACCGATTTGATGGTTTACTGCTGCATTTTAATATACAAAGTGATTCAAAATTAGCATATTTTATTTTAAGTGTAAAACGAAATCTGAAACTGTGCAAGTCGTTTGTAAGATTTTGTATTAGCAAAAATCACGGATAAAACCGGCAAATCGGCTCAACTTGAACTCAGAATAGTCATGAGTAAACAGTTGAGAGAGAGAAAACTGTTAACTTTCCAAAACCCAAATTAGTAGATTGTAAGATAAATGGATATACTTACGAATTGTGTGAATTAGGAGTTGAGGATGGTGTAGGTCGTCTTTCCTCCCTCATGGAACTGTTGCTAATTTTCGACGTTAACCGCTTGAGAACATCGTCCATGGAACGTTTGAGTGGATGTAAGGAACTATTATTGTTCATTAAACTATTGTTGTTATTGTTGTAATGAAAGTTGCTCTTAATGTCCGAACTGGGTGAACTGCACTCGGAGGAGTTTCGCCGCCTCTCCAAGTCCTCATTGTGCAAAGAGAGGGCGGAAATGCACGGCGACACTGAGGTGATCATCGAATGAGGAGGCTCGTTCGCGGATATTTTCGCTGTCTTTGATGGTATCTGGTCTTCGTCCAGGCCGTCGTCCAATTCACTTCCGCAAGCACTGGGCGATGAGGATTCGGACAGTTTGTTGTAGAACGTCGAAGAAGTGTTGACCATAGTGTTGGGTTCTTCTTCGCAAATATCACTGAGATTGTTGCTGCTTGTTTCGTCCAAGTCAGTCAAGCCACCTCCATCGCTTCCACTTCCCAAATTTGCCTGGATTGGTGGTGGTTCCGTTGAACTGCCGTCTTGAAGTTTTGTTGGTGGCGACTTCCTCTTTGAAGACATATTTCTGGAAAGAGAAACGCAAATTTATTCCCTGGATCAACAGCACCCATTCACATTTATATGTTCTGAGATTCGAAGTCGATTAGCCGAATGTGTTTTCCTTGGCCTATCGGAAATTGAGATGCAAATAGTCCCATCGTGAAGGAATCTGTTTCTTAGGTAGTCAAATTATTCACGGTTAAATGTGGTCACTTTCCATCTTCCTTAATTAAAACGTGGAAGTAGGAGTGCACGACTTGTACGGGACCGACTTTCTATTTAATTTGGCCGAACGTTGATTGAACGCTATTAGCAACATCATATTTAATAATTTCTGCATGCTCTAAACGTTTCGATTTTCTATTGGGGTAATTGACAATTTGGGAACGACAATTTTTCTAGTGCTTGTCATTAGAAAATACGTTTCCTAATGGTTTTTTTCAGGAAGTTGTTCTAATTGAGTTCGAATGGTTTTGAAGCAAAAAATGCTCTTTGGTGAAGCTTCTCATTGTCAATGTACTTTGCCGATTTAACTCAATGTAAAATCTTAGTTTGTAATGTTTGGATCTGGTGGAACAGTTTGCCCTAATCAGTCGAGGTTTGATTAGATGAGAAGAGGAAAATCTTCAATTTTACAAATTTTGCCTAGTGTTCGCTCCTAGAGAACGTTGAAATTGAATATGGTAGACGCAAAACTCCTTAGAAGATTCATCAATTAAAGCACATACAACATTTTATTTATCCAATCAGAACGATTATTGAGAAATTTCCGCCTTAATGCATAAAATTAACTTGGCTGATGAGTTGACCTGTTATAAAAAGAGAAAACTCATGCAATTATGCGGGTAAGTGCACAGATAAACGTTATCTAATAATAATTGCGAACAGTAACAACTTCGAGTCTGAAAAGTTGAAAATTTCAATTTGGTTCTAGTATTAATTTGCCGATTATTTTGAATAAATGCAAAGAATTAAGAAGGGAACATAATGGCAACGCACACATCATTGATAACATAAATGAAACTGCTAATTGAAGCTTTATCTGGTGCTTTTGCAACCAAAATTCTCGGAAATATTAAAATTCTTACATTTCTTGAGGTTTTAGTCGCATTCTGCATCCAGAGCGGTTCTGTGAACAGTTCTTCGCCTAACACGACAGTATCAATTTCACCTGAACAGTGCACTGATATTACACTTTTTGATACTTAAATTGAACTTTAAGTCGGCGCTAAACGCGACTATACTTGATCAGTTGGTTTCGAAGATCTGGCTGGATTCGCCAAAAGAATTTGCAAACCGGACTTGTTATCGGTGAACTTGAGAACAATCGGATTCACACAATTACGGGGTCAGCCGCTTTATCGCCGATTTGGCTAAATAAGTGGTGAAACAAAGTCTCCACGCTCACAGTACATGAGACATTTCGGGCGTCTCAATAAAACGAACTGCGTTTTAGATTTTGCATTCAAATGGCTACAATATAAAAAAAAAGCTTAATTCAACGTTGTTTCTTTGCGGAAGTTCACGCAAATGTTCGCTTTTTTCAGTGATAAATTAATACCATCAATATCCCCCAAGTTTTTTCCATGGAAACTGCCCACATGATTCTCAAGGAAACTTTTCAATAAATTAGCAGACAATCGAGCTCGTTCATTGGCCTGATTAGACACGAAATGGAAAAACATAAAAATTTCGAACGACGTCAGTTCAAGTCGGGAAAATAAGAAAAAAAAACAACCGCCGGCAAAGTTCCGCCTTATTTCCTTTTATTGCAAAGAAAATATTATTAAGAAGTTGAAAGGATGGAAAATAATAAGTATAAAAGCGCAAGATGAAAGAAAGGGCGTTTCTCGTGAACACCCGAATCGAAACAGAAATAATATAATAAACGATGAAAATATTTATTTGAGAAATTAGATTTGTTGCCCCCTCTTTATCAGAAGAAAAATTGCTGGCTCGGCAGAGGCACAGCCCAATCGATACGGCTCGAGAAAGCTGCTGTTTTCTTTTGCTAAATAAAGTCCATCGTCTGTGTCATTAAATTCTTTATTTATTTTTCGCATAAAATTACGTGCCTTTTCATAAAAGCCGTATTATTCCGAGCAGAAAATTCAGCGTTTCATGCTGCAGATGCATCGGAGCTTTCAATATTTGCTGTTTTTCAACAATCCGACCTAGACTAGTCTAGTTCTGCTTATCAGCATAGACTAGACTATTTGTGGTTGCACAATTTAACGAGTTGTTTAGATGACACGTTCCACTTTTTTTATTTGACAACATCTAATCATTGTTGAGTTGCCCAAGCTCCCAAAAGCGGCAAACCTCATTTCAATAATGGCTTTAAATTACAAAAAATTATAAAATAGCTGTTTGATACTTTCTCACTTAATGCGCCTTTTTATTTATTAGACATTCACACCAAAACAGTGTTTCCATCGTAGGAGTCGTCACTTTGCTACGACTTGATGGGAAAAATTGATTTACCTTTATTAATTTGACCATTTCGAATTAATGATCATTATGCAGATTGTCGGCTACAAAATGGCGTTTATCTATTAAGATGTAGGATCTTTTGTAATGTTAGTTATATCACGAATCACACCCACGGAAAGTTGTAAAATTAATGAAAATTCTGCATATTAATAGGCGATAAACGTAACTTACTCAACGGCGTTGTCTAGAATGATTTATGAAAATTGTATTATTTATTTTAGATTTTTTACGTGCTAATAGTCATTAAAAGCTTCTAAGTTTTCTTTTTGAAAAATCCCTTAAAATCAACAAGAGGAACTAAAAAAACATCCATTCCAGGCATTTGGGGACTATTTTTATTGTTTCCGATTGAAAATTTAGTAATTGGTTTCAAGTTCTTTGATTATTTGCCTTCTAAAATTGGAGGTTGGGGGGGACTGGATAAGCTTTGCCATAACTTGCCATTATCTGTTCTCGAATCGGGTTAGACTTTTTTATTTTCAAAAAAAATGTTCTAAATATTTTTTCCAGGCAGTCCAAAACTCGTTGCCAGATCTAAGACATATTAAGTTCTGTGGGCACATACAGATTGTATGTGCCATAATTATTTAAAAAAAAATCGTTATAAATCCTCGTTGAGCTTCTTAGGAGCGAGTGAAGGAAATCAGATCACTTTGCAAAAATCGTCTCGATAAATCCGGTAAACAAATGGATAAACCGCCACAAACAACGACAGGTTTGGATAATAAAGACGAATTTTTATTCTCTCAGAAAAGCCGAACCTGACGATTATGATGAATGCGACTGGCGCTGTAAACAGGGCAAGTGTGTGTGTTGTTGTAAGGAAGCATACATCCGCTTTTCTGTGAAATATGGCCCTGTCTCTCCTACCAACAATCCGAAACAAGTAGACTTTTGTCCTCCGGATCCCGAGTTAGATGATCCGTTGTTAAACGGTTCGACGGATCCACGACCGGGAAATAAATAGGCCTTCATCAGAATGAAAGAAGATGAAACTAAAGTCCCATTTAGAATAAATGAATATATCGAATCTTTTTCTTTGAATTATGAGCCTTTGTGGGTGCATATTTATTATTCTCTTCGCGGTACATGGAGACAATAATTCACTTTTGCCTTCTTTGTTGCTGGACCTTTCGTGTTTCGATTAGCACTGGATTCGACTTTTTTCTTTGAGACATCGACATAAGTTTTCATATTTCTGCTATTTGTCTCTTTTTGAAATTAGTTTCTAATAATCGCTACTAAACTTGTTCATCAACTGTTTTAATTAAAACTTCTCTGCCTAAGGTCTAAACTGTTTATGGTTGTAAAGTTCCTTTAAAGCTGCGTCAAGCAAATCACCTCCGAAGCCAAATAACGCCAAAACATTCATAATCACCAATTAATTTAAACAATTGTCCATTTTTTTTCAAAGAACCCTTGTACCATTTGCACTCGCTAAGATTCTTAAAAATGAAAAATACACTGTCGATGGAACAACAGCTCCATTGTAGGTGCAAAAGCCAAAAATTGCGTGTCGAGCGGCACACCTATAAGCCCCATTTCGTCGGTTGTACACCAATTTGGTCAATGGAAGCTTGCACTATATGCAAAATTTTCGATAATTTGTTTATAAAATGGTCAAGGTTTTTGCTGCTAAAATAATTACCTTAGCCACTTGATACGGAAGCAGAAATTTTCAAACAGTTTGTCGCATTTTCGGTTGGCAAACGAAAATCACTCATTCTAATCAACTGTAGCCAGTAATAAAACCACAAAATGGTTCTTGTGAAAAGATTATTCCAGAACTGCAATGAGGCTTAATGCTGAATATGAACGGCGGATAACTGAAAATCTCATATCGCAAAACAGTGCACAAAAACAAAACGCTGCTCGTATGATTGCTTTACAAATCCCCATTATCGTCCCGTTCTGAATACCTGTGTTTTGCATACCACTCATCCAAAAATTCCCATTAAATCGATGCCATTCTCTCTTTCTCCCTGTGTGTGTTTGCCAGAGTTTCAAATACGTGAACGATTTCCGGTTTTATATCGTCGCTTTTGTGCTTGTCTGTTCGTCTGGATGTTCTGTGTCATCAACATCAAAAGCAGGAAAAATAATTATGTTTTTCGTTAATTGTCTTGCTTGAGACATAGTCTAAGTTTGCGATTACGAGAAGAATTTACTTAAGTGCATTGTGAAAAAGCACATTGAATTGGGAACAGGTGTATAGTGTAATGCGAGCCAAACCGATACGAAAACCAGTTGATCTAAATTAAAAGAACGCAAAAATGGCCAGACACTAAAGAAAGAAGAACAACTGAATTGAAAAGGCAGTGTAAGACATTGTTGTCCCAAATGCCTCTCCACTTCACATTGTGAATGAAAAATATATCTTTCATGTGAATTAATTCGTAAAGGCCCCGCTATTTATACCTCGTACAAGAATAAGTGTCCTCTTTGTGTTCTTGAAATAGGAGCTTGTTCTGCTTTATTTTCATTATGTTTTGTCTGGAGAACAATTCGACCATCTTAGCCAGCCGCCTCTTA